AAAATATTGGTCCGTGCTCACGACGTTCATCAAGCCAAGGCTTCGTATTCCTCTCCTACCAACTTTCCCAAGCTCCTACTAGCTTTCCCGGACTCTTAGCTAGTGTTTCTAGAAAATCCTTGCCCCAACGCTTCAGCAGGGATGCTCCAGCACAGTATGGACCTCGTTCACGAGGGTCTCGGCGCGAAAATGGGGCGTACTCAGACGAGCTGGTCGCGGACATCCTCAAGACGTTTGGGCTGTCGTTGTCGGACTTCGACGGCCATCATGCCCTTCCCTTCGCGAAGCTGCGGCCCCTCGAGGTAGGCCTGCAGCCCGATTGAGGACTGTTTCAAGGTTTTCAAAGTAAAAGTATAGATTAAGGCACGGTCGTTCTGGCCGTCGTCGATTGATGGATATACAGAATCACCGGACGATCTCGTCACAACCTAGAAGCAGTACAAGGAATTCGTTGTTCATCATGAACGGATGAACAAACCGGTGAGTCCTGCCTTATACTTGTGTAGCGTGTTCTGAGCATGGTTCAGCCGAGAGATAGCACGACTCCGGAGGCAGTTGCTCGGTTCCGTCAGAGACAGGCGACGAGGGAGCAATCCCACCCGATTCGACCGCGCCGGGGAACCCCGCAGGCCACCCAGTTAACCAGCCCGGTCCGAAGCCCACTCCACACTCTGATGACAAGGCGGGGGATGAAGGGGTTGCCAGCAAGGACGGCTGTGAGTCTCCTCTGGACCCAACTATCAATGCGTCGGAAAAGCGCAAAGCGCGGAGCTCTGGGACAGAACCGTTTGAAAAATGGGAGCGGGACGAAATGGAGGAACTGTTAGGGAAACTGAACAGTCATCTTGGTTTGTCGGCTTGGTTTTCTAGTCAGTCATTTCCTGATTACGAACGCTTGCAGTGCTCTACTCTCACCGTTTCCTGGAAGGGGAGGATGTCGCGAATAATTTTTTGTTCAACGCGGACAGGTGGGTGGTGCCGACTCCTATCTCAATTTTACTAAGGCGTTAGTGCAGATTGTTACCCATACCCATTTACGATTAATTATATTTACTTTCACCAACATACACGATTACTTCCAAGGACCTACCATAGTTTATTAAACGGACAAGACTAGACGTGCTAATAGTGATAAGCTGAATTGACAAATGTGCCTGCCAGCCTGAACGATTGTCAGCACTTGCTTAGTGTAGTTCATCATGACTCTTGAATTACGAGGAGTGCGATAGCTTTCGTGGTGTCCACTTACCTCTTTGGGGTTCGTATAGCGGGCATCAAACGTCGTTTTTGGCAGGAAATGATATCATCGGGAGTTGCCGCCCAATCTGCCATTCTCCCGAACAAAAGTCCCGAACATGGCCTAGTGAGTGAGGTCAGGAGTTTTACTAGTTCAACAGTCAGCTTTGCGCAGAACGGTAAAATGCGTGCACGCTGACGAATCGATTTGTCCGATAATCGGCACCTGTGGGATTTTATCGACAAAAGTGCTGTCGATCTGGCCTATCATAAATCCGAAGCCAGGGTATATATTGAGGGACATGGTCGCCCACAAGCACAACAATTCTTCGCCGACGCCCATAAACAACCATGTCCGACGCCTACCTCGCAGCCATCGCCACCCGTCGCACCAACTATGCGCTCACCGCCAAATCGTCCGTCCCTGACGAGAAGCTCGAGGCCATTATCAAACACTGTGTGCTTCACTGCCCCACCTCGTTCAACACGCAGTCGAGCCGCGCTGTCCTCGTTATCGGCGCAGAGAACACCAAGCTGTGGAAGATGATTAGCGAATCTGCGCTCAAGGGCCTCGAGGGTTTGTTTCGTCCACATTCCATGCACTGCAGACATGCTCACGAATAATTCCAGGCGAGCACAAAGCTTCCATGCAGGGCAAGTTGACCGCGTTCGGCAGCGGCTACGGGTCGGTCATGTTCTTCGAGGACCAGGCCGTTATCGACGCTATCACGGCCAAAATCCCTGCGTGCGTTTCGCTTCCTCTTCCGCGTCGTTGTTCAGGTGACTGACAGTTCGCGAACAGCTACACCAAGCAGTTCCCTGTGTGGAGCACCAACGCAACAGGGATGCTCCAGCACGCAGTGTGGACCTCGTTCACCCTTGAGGGTCTCGGCGCGAACCTGCAGCACAATGGCGCGTACTCGGACGAGCTGGTGGCGGACATCCTCAAGACGTTTGGGCTGCCGTCGACGTGGACCTCCACCGCCATCATGCCCTTCGGAGTCCCTGCCGCCCCTCCAGGTACAGTACCTGTTTGTTCCAGGGACCTCCAAACTCACTCTTCCTCCAGGCGAGAAGGCCTTCGGCCCGATTGAGGAGCGCTTCAAGGTTTTCAAAGCATAGATTAAGAGCGCATGGTGGTCCTAGCCGTCGTAGATTGATGTAAATGTAGAGTGCAATGGAAGGCTTTTATTCGCTGTGAGGAGCGTGATCGTCGCAAGCCAGAATACATCGTAGTCGTGTGCAAGGGAGGGCCGAGCCACCGGCGGCCCCGGGCCGACTCGGAAACACGTCCATTTTGGGCGATCTACCTTCTTCGCTGTCTGAGCCTGTCTCCACTTTCAACCCGGAGCCGTCGCCGCGTACCCCAGCCCTCTACATGCAAAGTCCATACTACTAGTGTCCTAATCAACAAGAGGCCAGATTTTTAACGTGCGTTTAGTTGACGCGCGCAAATGGTGGGAAAGCCAGATGCACGCGCACTAAGCCTGGGGCCCGCGTCAAATGAGCACGAGGATGGAGTCGAAGCTCTCACCCGTCCCCAAGAAATAATGTGGCACGCCTCCGCGCGCTGCCAAAATTCCACATCTCCGTGGCCTCGACAAACCTCCGTATGCACATCCCTCGCCCCATCTCCACATCTCCGTGGCCTCGGAAGGTACACACACCGCGTACATGGCGCCCCCGACCGCCGGTACAAACCGCAACGAGACATGAGGGGTGGCCGGGGAAGTACATGAAGGAAAAAAGACAGAGACTGACCGCCGGGCATCTTCGGGGCCCTGTCTTGAGGCGGGATCCCCCCAGTATCTTGAGCGGGCTCCCCCCGCGGTCTGTCTTGAGGCAGGCTCCCCCTGCGGTCTTGAGTCGCCTAGCGAAGGATCCCCCAACGGTCTTGGTATCTTGTCTTGAGACAGGATCCCCCAGCGGTCTTCAGTCTTGCATTGAGTCAGGATCCCCCAGCGGTCTTGAACGGGCTCCCCCCGGGTCTTGATCCGCCTAGTGAAGGATCCCCCAACGGTCTTGTCTTGAGTCAGGATCCCCCAGCGGTCTTGACTCTTGAGCGGGCTCCCCCCGAGGTCTTGAGTGTCCTGAACTTGAAGCGTCTTGATCCCTGAGGCTTGAATTGGGCTTGAAGGCTTGAGGTGGGCCTTGATACCTGCGCGAGGTCTTGAATCTTGAAGCCGGTCTTGATTCTTGAACGGGCTCCCCCCGCGGCCTTGAGCGTCTTGAACTTGAAGCGTCTTGACTCGCCTTGCGTTGAAGTCTTGAATCTTGAACATCTGGGTACTTGTAGGCTTGAGGCGGCCTTGACTCTTGCGCGAGGTCTTGAAGCGGGGCTTGATTAAATCTTGAGGCCTTTGGGCTTGCGCAGTCTCCCACTGAGGTCTTGAGCATCTTGAGGCGCGTCTTGACTCTCGCGCGGTGTTGAGTCTTGCGCTTGAAGGGTCTTGAGGTCTTGAACTGGAATAGGCCTGCCATCGCCCAAGGTCTTGACGCTCGACGCTGGCTGGGGTCTTGAGGGGAGAGAGAGAAAAGCGCCATCGCCTAAGCTTGCGGTCTGTCAGCCACATACGATCGTAGTCAGCCGCCGGTGGCTGACTAGAGTAAGAAGCGACGCACCAAACCCCTGCGAGATCTGGCGGGCGAGCACGAGCTGCGCTGGGTGGCGAGTCACAGTCACGAGCGAGGAATGGGTGGATGCCAGTGGGACGAGCGAGCGCGAAGAACGGGTGGGCGGGACGAGCGAGCGCAAAGAACGGGCGGGCGGGATAAAGCGGGCGCACGACGAGCGACGAAGTCCACACACGGCGAGGAGGACAGAACGCGACGGTCAGCATGCGCTCAGGCTCGAGTGCAAGGACTCACCTCAGGCCTCCAGCAATCGCCGGCGAGCTCTTGTGGGAGGCAACCAGCAGTGGGGAAGGGGAAGCGAGGCGGGATGGTGGTGGTGCGGAAGCAAGAGAGGTGGGAGTTCAGCCACCGCCCCTTCCCTCCCTTCCGCAAAGTCACTTTGGTGTTATTTGTCCTCGCTCGCGTAGAACAGGAAACGAATCATGTGATCGCGTTTTCTTTCCCCTTCACGCTCCCGTCGACCGCGACCTGACGCGATGTTGTTCTGTTGAGTTCTGAATCCCACCTGTATCCGATTCGCCCCTGGTTCGAAAAGTCATAGATACGAGTTTATTCGCACCCAGCCCGGTCTAATATCGTCTACACGGTAGCACGATAAAATGCAGAGTTTCTCAGCATCAGACACCAGGCCAACCAACATGCATCTGCTGCTGTCGGCCTGGTGGTGTAACGGTAGCATCCCTGCTTTTAATGGCACGGATATAATGATGTCCAGCAGGTGTTCCTTGTTCGACTCAAGGTTAGGCCATTCGAACTTCTCCTGGTTTCTTTTTGAACAAAAAATGGGGTCTTTTTTCGAAAAAATGCGTGCGGTTCCACAGCTGAGTCGTGTCCATGTCGAACAAGTGCATTCAAATATGAGCAGTACGCATAAATCCCTACTTATCTATTTATCCGCCAAGTCCTCGCCCCCATGCCCAAAAGATCCTCGAAACGAAAGCGTGCGGTCGGATTGACTCGCAGCCTGCACCCTCAACATAATTCGAGCCTGCACCCTCAAAATAATTCGAACCTGCTCTCTGGTTTATTCGAACCCATCCCGGTCTAATATCGTCTACTCGGTAGCACGATGAAATGCAGAGTTTCTCAGCATCAGACACCAGGCCAACCAACATGTATCTGCTATTGTCGGCCTGGTGGTGTAGTGGTAACACCCCTGCTTTCAATAAACGTTCAAACATGATATCTAGCAGATGTTCCTTGTTCGGCTCAAGGTCAGGCCATTCGAATTCTTCTGGTTTCTTTTACACAAAAATAATTGGGGTCTTTTTTTTTTTTTTTCGAAAAAATATGTGCGGCTCCCCTGTCGAACAAGTGCATTCAAGCATACGCGTACTTCCCGGCTTATTTATCCCCCAACTCCTCGCCGGCCCAGCTGCCCAAAAGATACTCGAAACGAAATTCAGCGTGTGTTCGCCTTGACTCGCAGCGGCGGCATCAAAATAATTTGAGCCTCCCCTCAAAGTTGAACCGGAAGAAAGGGGGCGACTTGTTCACTTTCCGGTACCGGTGGCCTCGGTGCCGCGCGCCACAGGGAGATGTTCCTGCAAGAGAAATCACTGGTCTTACGCTATTGGACATTTAGATCGAGAGCGAGTCGTAAGTATGCCGAAACGAAACGCCCGTTTGGTGTCCGGGTTACGGGGACCATGCTGAGGTCGTCTAATTCATTATGCTGGACCCACAAACTGCTTGATCCGCCTCGAAGACTTGAGAACTCGGTTGATCCGAAAATATATGGGACCGCGAAGAAATGAACTGAATGTGCTCGTCCGGCTCGAGGCAGCGCTCGACCGGACTGACTGCCTGCTGGTCGTACTAGGGGCGAGGTAGACGCAGCTCGGTTGACGCGCGGTCCTAGTCTTTCCGCCTGTTCGGAGCGTTGGTCCGTCAGAACGCCTTCGCCTATTTGGTTGCCTTAGCAGCGTAGGCACCGGCACCGGTGCCAAAATCGCGGGTGTTCGGTACGCAGCTAGATTGAATCCAGGGCCGGTGGAAAGGCTAGCGCAGCTGGGCAGTGAAGCAGACGCAAGCGAGCTTGGGATCCGCTGGATCTGCAAGCCACGCAACAAACAAAGCAAACAGCCTTCGAAAGCAGATCTTTTCTGAATCTTTCGGGTCGTCCAGGATGGGTGATGCGGTAGCCGGTAGCCATGGCACCGCAGCCGCGGGAATTTTTTTACGTCGGGGTCAAGTCGGGGTTGCTTTTTTTGAAGACCTCCGAGGACCTCCGGCTACGTCGGCAAGGTGTTCACCCGGTGATCGTAGGGGTGCGATTCGCAGATTCTGATTCTCGATGGTTATTCCTCGAGAATAAACACGGGCAGTGAGAGCAGCCGTATGCGTTCTAGTGGGGTGCACATGCCGAGCGGATGTAAGAATCTCGAAAAGATGCGGGATAAGTAAGCATCCAGGTCGAGCGGGGATTTACTAAGTATTTGGGCGGGCAGTGCCCAAGACAAGACAGACCGGATGCAGCTAGATGCGGAATTTGGGCCTCCCCAGGACAGAGTACACATCGCCTTATGCGAGGTGAATTCGCGCGGGGGTGGCAACGACTGGGCCCGCGTGATACGAGGGTGCGGAGTAGGACAAGGAAAGGCAGTTGATGTATCGGCGCGGGAGAAGATTGACTGGGCAACTAGTAGGGGTATTTATGCCCCGAGGGTTGCGGCCGGACGAGATATTTGGCAAGCCTTGGGCTTCTTTGTCGACTGTTCGCGGTGGATCAAGAGTTGTGGCTGATATGGATTGTGATTTTGAGGTGATACGAGGGTCAAGAAGGTGATGAGGTTGCTGTGAGGTAGGAGGAAAAGGAAAAAGGGGATGGTGGATTGGCGGTGCCTGGGCCGCAGATCAGTGTTAGCCGAGCGGCGGCTTTCGAGGTTGATCGACTCGATAATTAATTTTGCACTTTTCGTCCATGAACACCCGGCGGGAGAGTCGAGGCAGTCTCCTTGTCGCCGGCCGCTGGGGATGCCCTTGCGAGCATGCGCTTTGGCCGACGGCGAGCCAGCATCCGGCAGCAACCCGACAAGCTCGTCCTTGCCGTCCCCCATGTCATCGACATTTCTGCCCCGCCCCCCGACGAGGAGCTCGAGGAGCGCCAGCGTCTCAGGGACGCCGCAGCCCAGTCCATAGGGCTGGCCCCGGTCAAGGACGAGACGGAGGAGGACGAGCAGCTGGAGGAGCACGAAGAACCTCCAAAGTCGCAGCCTTCACCGTCTCCTGTCCCCCGTCGACGGCCACCATCGCTTCCCCCACCGCCGCCCCTGCCGCCGTTCCCCGCGTCCTTTCGCACCCTGGACCGGTTTGCGTCCCTCGCAGCGACCCTGCCAAAGTACTACCCGCCGGGCTCGCTCCGCATCTTCGCCCTCGCAAAACAGTGGAAAACCCGCTACCTCCTGCTCTCCGTTCCCGCCGGGCCCGTCTCCCACCTCCACCTCTTCAAGGGCCAAGGCCCCGACGACCGCGAGCTCGAGCGTCTCGAGATCAACGCCGACAGCGTCGTCTTTGTCGCCGAGTCGTCCCCCACCAACCCTGGCCAACCCGTCCACGTCGTCAAGGTCGGTGGGACAGACGTCGGTGCGCTGCGACGCGACTGGAACACCACCGACGACGCGGGCCGCACTGTCTGGCTCCTCCACCTTCCGAGCCCCACCGAGGCGCAGCGCTGGATCACCGCAATTAAGAACGCTATATTTGACCAACGGTCCGTCGCCGACTCGTTTTGTATTTATTGCCTTCATTTAACTGCTTGTATCGTAGGACCCAGCGCGCAGGCCTCGGTCCCGCCCCGCCCCTCGCGCTCGAGCCGCGCGGCGACATGGACGTCATGCTCTCCATGCGCATCCACTCGGCACACGCCAGCTCGCCCACCGAGGACGACGACCCGCGCACCCCGCCGACGCCCACGAGCCCCACGAGCGCGTACCCCGCGTCCATCGCCCCCTCCGCCTCCACCCGCTCCGTCCGCTCCGTCGCCACCACCCCCTCCCCGACCCACACCTCCCCCCACCGCGCGTCCGCCGTCGCCGCGCTCAAGGGCCTCTTCGCGTACGGCGCCCGCCCCCGCTCCTCCTCCGCCGCCTCCGTCGGGTCCATGACCTCTGCGCGCAGCACCGCGACGTCCCCTGTTTCGTCGTCTTCATATGGCTCCGCGGAGGAGATGGGGCTCGCCGACTCGTTCGCGCGCATGGGCAGCCTGCTGGCGAGCGCGAGCGCGAGTGCAAATGCGAACGGCGCCCCCCCGAGCCTGCACTCGAACAGCACGTCCGCGTACCACCCCGTGCCCGCGGGCGGCCCGGCCCCAGCGCCCAAGGCGACCAAGGGCTCCCTCCCCCTCGGCGGCACCGGAGGGAGCAGTGTGCTCGAGCGCCGCATCCTAGCGCAGGCGGAGCGCGAGCGCGTCGGGGGCCAGCTCGCGAACGGCAGCGCAAATGGAAACGGGGCACTCCCGCACGCGAACGGGGACGCAGCGCACGCGAACGGCATCGCCCACCCCTACGGGAACGGGCACGCGCCGGAGTTGGAGCTGGCGCCGGCGAGCTCGAGCTCGAAGCGCCGCACGCTGCCCGCGCCGCCGGCGTCGCTGCAGCCGCCCCCGCGCGCGCGCATGAAGCGCTGGACCGGGATAGGCAGCAGCGTCAGCGCGTCCACGACGCCCACGCCCGAGGACGTAGGCGCGAGCACGATGTACGCGCACCCGCACGCGAACGGGAGCAGCGGGACCGCGGGGAGCTTCGGCGTGCCCGCGCCGTCCGTGCGCACCTCGCGCTCCACGCTCGACGGCACCGCGCACTCGATCCTCGAGCACGAGGTGCACGGCGGCGTGTACGGCGACGGCGCGAGCGTGTCGACGGGGCGCTCGCGCGCGTCGAGCGTCGGGGGGAGCGTCAACGGGAACGCGAACGGCAGTGTTAATGGCACCAGGCGCGGGTGCGCCGGGGAAGACGCGCCGCTGGTCGACGCTCCCGAGGCGCCTCTCGCCGCCGGCGTCCCCGCCGCCCGCCCCGCCCGCGTCGGCCTCCGCCGCGGTCTCCGTGCGCAGCATCCCGCACCCGTACGCCGCTGCCGGCGTCGCGCCGCCCGAGTCGCCCGGGCGCGACAGGGAGCGCGCGTCGAGCCGCGCGAGCGCGCATTCGTTTGGGTCCGCGCGCGAGCGGGACGGGCAGTCGTTTGGCTCGCGCGACGGGCAGTCGTTCGGCTCTGCGTCGCACTCGCCCGGACGTGCGTCGGCGGCAGGCGGGTGGCCGCGCGGGAAGCGCGCGTCGGGTGTGAGCGTGGCCAGTGCGAGCGGAGTGAGCGCCGCGTCATCCTCGGGGCGCGCGGCCGGTTCTGCGTCGGCGCACCGTGCGTCCATACCCCCGCCGCCGCGCCCTGCGCCGACGGGCGCGCTGCCGCCTGCGCCGGGCGTCGACGGCGACGGGACGACAGGGAGCCCGAACGGCCGCTCGTCGTTCCGCGATTCGCGCTCGTCCTCGCTGTCCGTGTCCTTCCGCGACTCGCCGCCCGTCGCGAGCAGCAAGTCCCTCCCTGCGCCCGCGCCCGCGTCTGCACCCGCATCCGCCAACGGGAAGGGCGGCGCGTCGTTCCGCGAGTCCATGTCGATGACGCACCGCGCGCTGCGCCTGTCGCTCCTCGCGCCCAAGCCGCCGCCCGCGGGCGTGCTGCCCCCGCGCCCCGACGAGCAGCCCGCGCCGGCCCAGACGCAGTCCCAAGTGCAGGCGCAGAAGCACGGCCGGCGCACGAGCAGCGGCGCGCGTGCGCTCGCGCTGCAGCCCGTCCCCGGGTCGCCCGCGACCCCGCCGCCCCGCGGGCCCCTGCCCCCTACCCCTTCGCATCCGTCCGCGCCTGCCTCCGCGCCAGCACCCGCGGGGCCCGTGCGCCACGCGTCCCTCAAGCTCAAGCACCGCCTGCGCATCCTCAGCGCCCCGCCCGCGCCGCACCCCGGCCCCGCCGCGCCCACGACCGTCTCTGAGCGCCGCACGAGCGCCGACGGGAGCGTGAGTGTCGGCGGAAGCGGCGGCGTCCCCGCGCGCATGACGCTCGCGAGCTTCCTCTCCGCGTCGACGCCGACGACGCCCACGACCCCCGCGCCCGCCCCGCTCCCCGCCAGCTTCGCCGCCGCGCTCGACACGCCCCCGCCGCCGTCGACGCCCCTCGGCGAGAAAATCATCCAGTTCCACACGCAGAACGACCCGAGCTTCCTCCAGCTCTCCGC